AGACGCCCCAGTATTTTCTATTTCATTTACTTTTGCTCTGATGTTTTAGAGAGGGAGAGTGTGCAAATGTGCATGGGGCAGAGGGGAGAGAATCTTAAGCAGAATCCACAGACTGTACAATCAGTGTACAGTCTGATGCGGAGCTCAGTCTCAACAACTGTGAGATCATGACCTGAGCTGAAATTAAAAATTGGATGCTTAACCTACTGAGCCACTCAGGTGCCCCTCTGCTTTGACTTTTATTATTTTTCCCTCTGTTTTAGATTTTATTTGCTTCTCTTTTCCAGTATCTTAAGGAAGGTTAGTGTATTGACATAAAATCTTTATTTTGTAACTTAGACATTAACAACTATAAATTTCCCTAAGAAATGCTTAAGCTGCATCTCATAAGTTTTGGTATGTTGTTTTCTCATTTCATTCATTTCAAAGTATTTCCTAATTTTCCTTAATGATTTTTTTCTTTGTCCCTTTGGTGTTTTTAGTTAATTCTGCTTAAATGGGAATTTACTAAATTTCTTTGTATTTTTGAGCTCTAATTTCATTACATTGTTATTGAAGAACATACTTTGTGTGATTTCTGTATTTTTATGTTCATTAAGTGGGTTTCTTGCTCTAGTTTATGTTCTGTCTTGGAGAATATTTTTCATGTGCATTTGAGAAGAATGCATATTTTCTTTTTGTTGGCTGGAGTGTTGGGACTATATTTAAATTTCAAAATAATCCTCTTGGAGACTATTTTTATTCTTACCCCCATTTTACAGAAGAGCAAGGCTCTAAGCCTCAGTTGATTGATTAACTTGTCTACAGTCTTATATAGCCCAGAGTTGGCAGAGACAAGATTTAATCCTACACCTTTTCAGACTTTAAACCTATGTTCTTAACCTGCCATTGAGAAAGAAGTTAAGTGTGCAGTAAGAAAAGTGATGAAAGCTAGCAACCAAAGGAAACTGTGGAGCCCAAGGGAAGCTTGTTCCTGTTTGAACTGAGTGTGAGAGAAATTGGTAGAGGTAGAGATTAAAAATACTTGAGTAGGAAGAAAATAAGGGCGAGAGTGTAGCTTAAGGGCTGGGGCTGGGAAAGTGAGAGTGCTGTAGTCAGAAAGACATGGATGGGTTCAAGTCCTAGCTCTGTCGCTATCTAGTGGTGTGACCTCAGGCAAGTGATGCTACCTATCTGAGCCTCACCATCCTCATCTGTAAAATGGGGAGGCAGGGGAAATATTAAAGCAAAGGTGAAGATGAGAGGCCAAAGATCAGAACTGAATGGGGATCAAAGGGAGAGATGGGTTAACTTTTCCAGATGGCTTTAATTTTCTTGTCTGTGATATAGGATCCTCTGAGAGGGAAGACAGGGAATTTGAACTTCAGAGAGATCTAGAATCCCTAGTAAAAGAAAAACACTTACCTAAATTTTCTTTTTCTTTCTTTCTTTCTTTCTTTTTTTTTTTAAACTTGCCTAATTTTCAGTTCACTTGCCAAAACCGATGTATCTGTTGCTCTCCCTACACACTCTCTCGCCTGCACCCCTTTCTTCTCTCCTGGGAAGATGGACTCGTCCTTCCCTGGGTTCATACCCCTCATTACCTTACTGAGAGATTCTGGTCCCCTCGCCTCCTCCCTTGTTCTCCCTGCCCTCCTCCTGGAGGGCACACATCTGCCTGGGGGTCTCCTGATCAGCAAAGGTCAGAACAGGCCCTTCTGTAGGTGGCCACTTCTTAGAGTCTCTGTCCGCCATCCTTGGACTGTTAGTGTCCTGGTGAATTCTCCATGCCTTTCCTTTTCCCAGCTGGTGCAGAAGTTCCACACATCTAGTAGAAATACGTGGTTCATTTATTCCTTCCCCTATTAACAGATACTTAGGTTGTTGCCAGTTTTTGTTCCTGTAAGCAAGACTCCAGTGAACATCCTGGTGGTTATCTCTTGGGTCAATTGGCAAACCAGCCTCTAGAGTAGAGACTGAGTTGAATTGCTGGGTCTTCGAGTCGGCATGGCTTTATTCTGTAATGGGTAATGCCATATTGCAAAGTGTCTATATATTCTTTTCCTTTTATTTTTATATTAATTGTAATTCACAACACATTACTTGCAACTTGCTTTTCATACTAAGCATTGTATCTTAGATATACTTATCTCAGAATGTAAAGATTCTCATTCCTTTTTATAGATATGTAAGTTGTTTTTAAAGTTATCCCTTACTAATGGGGATTTAAGATGTTTGTAATCTTTTGCTATAAAAATAATGCTAAAGTGAATAACCTGTTAGTTTTTTCCTTTTATCTTTTCATAATACAGATGCTTCTATCAATGGGATAAATCCCTAGGAGTGGAGTTTCTGGGCTAGTATGTGTGTTTATGTAATTTTTAAAAATAGATGTGTGGCATGCCTGGGTGGCTCAGTAGGTTAGGCGTTCAAGTCTTGATTTCAGCTCAGGTTATGATCTCACAGTTCGTAAGTGTGTGTGCATACTCTCTCAAAATAAATAAAGAAATAAAAAAAAAAAACATATATTATGGTGAAATGCACATGACATAAAATTAACCACTTTATTTTTCTTTAACTTTTTTTTCTGAGTTTATTTATTTGATTGATCTCTGCACCCAGTGTGGAGCTCAAATTCGTGAGCCTTCAGTCAAGAATTACACGCTCTTCTGACTGAGCCAGCCAGGTGCCCCAAATTAACCATTTTAAAGTGAACAGTTCAGTGCCATCACAACTTTGTCTAGTTCTGAAATACCTCTATTACTCCAAAATAAAATCCTGTACGTATTAAGCAGTTACTTACCTTTCCTTTCTCTTCCTGCCCTTGGCAACCAGCAATCTGTATTTCATTTCTATGGATTTAACAATTCTGAATATTTCATATAAATGGAATCATACAACTCATGTTTTTTTTGTGTGTGTGTCTCGCTTCTTCTAATGTTTTCAAGGTTTATACATATTGTGGCATATATGAGTTGTAGCATTTTTTTAATGGCTGAATAATATTCCATTATTGGGGCACCTAGTTAACTCAGTCAGTAGAGCATGAGACTCTTGATATCAGGGTCGTGAGTTCAATCTCCGCGTCAGGTTTGGAGCCTACTTAAATATATATATATGTATGTATGTATGTATGTATATATTTTTAGAATATACGTATTCTATTGTATGTAAATACAATTGTTTAATCCGTTCATCCATCAAGAGACATTTGGGTTGTTTCTATGACTTGGCTATTGTGAATGGTACTGGTATGTACCTGGTGTGTACAAGGATTTATTAGGGTACCTGTTTTCAGTTCTTTTGGGTATATACTGAGGAGTGGAAATGCTGAGTTGTAAGGCAATTCTATGTTTAACTTTTTAAGGAACCACAAACTGTTTTCCACAGTGGCTGTATCGTTTTACATTCTCACCAGCAGTGTAATTCTCACCAGCAGTGTATGAGGGTTCTGATTTCCTTGCGTCCCTGCCAACACTTACTATTTTCTTTCTTTCTTTCTTTCTTTCTTTCTTTTTTTTTTTTTAAGGTAGGCTCCACACTCATCGCAGAGCTCAATGCAGGGCCTGAACCCATGACCCTAAAATCAAGACCTGAACTGAGATTGAGAGTCAGATGCTCAACCGATTGAGCCATCCACGCACCCCTATTTTCCTTTTTTAAAAATATATAGCCATCTTCATCCATGTGACGTGGTTGCATATGTAATTTTGATAGATCTTGCCAAATTATCATCCTTGGACTACAAATTATATTTGGTATATAAATTACATTCTTACTGGCAATGTAACAGTTTCTTCATAACTCTTGCCAACATAGAATAATATGTAACTCTTTGATTTTTGTTAATCTGATAGTTGGAACACGAAATCTTTTGTGTGTGTGTTTATTTTGAGAGAGAGAGAAAGCACAAGCAGGGGAGGGTCTTCTCGGCCCTACTCCACTTGTGCTCTGTCCATCACTCTCTCAAAAAATAAACATTAAAAAAAAATAGTTGCATGCTCTACCAGGTGCCCCTGGTTTTTAAAGTTTAAAAAAATTTTTTACCTTGGCCATTTTTTCTTATGTTTGAACCATTTCTATTTCTGTCTCTTGTAAATTGTCTCTTCATATCCTTTACCCATTTTTACTGGATTATCTTTTTTTTTTAATTTGTAGGAACTTGACACATTTCTGGGAAATTAGTACTTTGTGATATGAGTTGCTTATACTTTGCCTGGTCTGTCTTTATCAATCTTTACTTGCCTACTATATTCATTGTCCTCGGTGCTCGAACCCTAGCACAGGAGACCCAAGGCTGCCCTCCTGGAGTTTGTTCTGCAAGGGGTGTGCGGGGAGAAGATATGTAAATAATCAAGATAACTTCTGATTACGGTCTATACTTAGAGGGAAACAAAACCAGATGTCATTATGATATTGGGTGATGTGGTAGGAGGCTGCTAATACAGAAAGCCGAGTGGAAGATGATAGTTTGACTCCAGACACAAAGGCAAGATAGCTATACAAGTAGCTGGGAACAGAGAATGCAAAGGCCACAGGGTGGGGGGTTGAACCCGACATATTTGGGCAGTGGAAGGCGCCAGAGGGACTAAGTAGGGTGATCAAGGGGAGAGGTGCAAGGTGAGGCTGGGAGGGGAGCAGGGGCTAGATCCTGAGCATCTAGCCTGGCATAGGGAGGAGTGCACATTTTATACTAAGTACCATGGGAAGCCTCAGGAGGGTCATGAGTAGGAAGTTACTCGATTTTAAGTGTTTTTTGAAATCATTAATAATTGCTTGAGAACTTTTAATGACTGCTCGTTATTTCATAGGTATGTATAAGTCACGGTTTATTGAACTCATTGGAAAATTGTTCTTTTCCTCCTCCCTCATTTTTATTCCTATACCATTTTGGTAAAGGTATCTGTAAGCTTGATTGCTTTCTTAGGTTATTGTCCTACAATTACATTTTATGGGCAGTTTTTGAAGGTGTTTGGTGCATGAAATTTGACAGCACTCCAGTGTGTACTTTTGTGTTACAGAGTGTGTTAATGACAGCTACTGGTTTGGGAGAGACAGAAGCTGCGAATACTGCTTTGATGAGCCACTGCTGAGAAGAACGGATAAATACCGGACTTATAGCAAGAAGCACTTTCGGATTTTCAGAGTAGGTGACAGAAATCCGTCTGTTTGGGAGAATTGGTAATCTCGTCCTTAACCCTGAGATATCTTAGCACTGTCACTCCCCACTGTTAAAACTTTGAAATAAAATGTTCTCTATTTTAGGAAATGGGTCCCAAAAACTCTTACATCGCATACATAGAAGATCACAGTGGGAATGGAACCTTTGTAAATAGAGAGCTTGTAGGGAAAGGAAGACGCCTTCCTTTGAATAACAATTCTGAAATTGCACTTTCAGTGTGGAGTAATAAAGGTAACATTACTCTCTTCTGGTTACTGGATCTTTCTTTCCTCTCACGTAAAGAGAAGGTTGACATTGTGCCCTTTGCCAAGTATGTTTTAGGTAAATAAAGAAGGATGGTTAGTATTCAGGATTCAACTCAGTCTGGATGCATTCTTAAATTTGGAAAGATTTCTATCAAGACTAACTTTTTAAAGTGTAACTGCTTTGATAAATTTTATTTAAGGGTATATGTTGTCAATGGGATGATATTGCTTAAGATGGTTCATTGTTCACTGATTGATGCAGTTTGTACCACATCAGTCTTAGATGTGAGTGAGCTGTTCTAGGCCATTAATTCTTCTCCCTCCCTCCCTCTTTCCTTCTTCCCTTCCTTTCTTCATTCTTCTCTTTCATTCTTTCCATTCATTAATTGCGTATGTATTTATTGAAGTTTGTTTATATGCCAGGCATTAATTAGGGTTTTTCTGTAAGAATCTCAGTTTAAACCTTCTGGCTTCATGGGGCGCCTGGGTGGCTCAGTTGGTTGAGTGTCTGACACTCCATTTTGGCTCAGGTCATCATCTCACTGCTAGTGAGATGGAGCCCCGTGTCGGGCTCTGTGCTGACAGCACAGAGCTTGGGATTCTCTCTCTCCCTGTCTCTCTGCCCCTTCCCTTTGTGCACATATGTGCTCTCTCTCTCTCAAAATAAATAAACGTTTAAAAAAACCCAAATGATTGATTGTCTGAAAGTTTTTATGTTTATTATCATCATCGGGCAGCATTTTATGAACAGCCACTCCTAAAACTTTACTAATATCACATCTAAAATGAGCAGTTGTCATTCAGCACAGAAAGAATTAAAGCCACTTGAAGAGTTAAATGTAATCTCACAGTAATTTTAAATCTTGGACAAAAGGAATACTTTTGTTTCTCTGATTAAAAAAAGACCAAACAAACCTGCAGAACTTCACAAAACTATCTGAGGGTTGAATGAATGGGAAGAAAGTGTGTGTGTGGGTAATACCTTAAAAATAATAGATGTCTACGGGGTGCCAAGGTGGCTCAGTTGGTTAAGTGTCCGACTTCGGCTCAGGTCACGATCTGGTTTGTGGGTTCAAGTCCCACTTTGGGCTCTGCACTGACAGTGTGGAGCCTGCCTTGGATTCTCTTTCCCTCTCTCTCTGCCCCTCTCCCGCTCATGTGTGTGTGCTTTCTCCCTTTCTCAAAAAAAAAAAAAAAAAAATGATGTCCACAAATGCTGTCCCACAGATCCTGGTCCCGTGGTTCCAGAGATTTAAAAAATCTTGCCTAGGGGAGCCTGGGTGGCTCAGTCGGTTAAGTGTCTGACTTTAGCTCAGGTCATGATCTCACGGTTCGTGGGTTCGAGCCCTGCGTCGGGGTCTGTGCTGACAGCCAGTTCAGAGCCTGGAGCCCGTTTTGGATTCTGTGTCTCCCTCTCTCTCTGACCTTCCCCTGCTCACGCTGTCTCTCTCTCTGTCTCTCAGAAATAAATAAAAAACATTAAAAAAATTTTTAAAAATTTTGCTTAGGCATTTCTTATGCAGTCTTCAGACTGGCATCTGGGAATGATGGCCATACTGGACATCCTAAAGTGCATTTTATGACAGTTTTCCCTGTTTCTATTTTGTTTTCAATCTGATAATTGTAGTCAGGGCAGCTGCATAGGGTTTTGCTGTTTGAGAGCACCTTGTGCAGGCGACATCTGAATGCTGAAATTTGGCCCGTCTTACTTGACAAGCTGTGTGCCACCTTTTCCTAGTTGGTCTATCTACAGGGCAACTTTTCTGCTTTGAACAGATGTGTTGTATGGGCTAAAGGAGGCCTTCATTGAAATAGATCAGACTCGCACTCTGCAGATGGCATTCAGTTTATTGACATTTTATTAGGCATTTGCTATTTGTACTTTAATGTAAAAATCCAGATTGCTTTGAAAAAGGTGGACTGTCTGGCCATACTGAGCCTAATTCCATAACTGGAGGACTTGCCAGTGCTCAGTAGAGCCCGTCTGTTTTAGATGGGCAGTGTGTTTTCCCCATTCAGGTGCTCACTGCTCCATGTTGTCTTACATCCAACCCAGCCTTCCCTGTGTATGTGACCTTGGCTTATGTGGATAACTGGGTTTGCAGCTCTTGAAGTAGACCTTGACGTTTGCGTGATGTAGCCTTCCAGAGCCCCTCAAATTCCTGGGTTCTCAGATGCCACGGGAACATCTAGGTTCATAAATATCCCTGAACATAGAGAAACTGTTGAGTCTTGGTTTGCTGGCAGGTTTCATTAAGCACGCATGTGTCTGTCTTGAGCGGACCAGCCTGGAATGAAGCACACTCAGGCGGCTCAGATTTGTGCCAGAGACTGGAACTCTGGGTCACTCCAGGGAGGTCAAAACCTGTCGCCTGAATTCTGAGAAACTCAAGGGTCTTAACAAATTTCACTTTCAGGATATTGCAGGCAGCTGCAAATTTACAATTGATTTTGTATAGAATTGAAATACTGATAATTGATTGCAGCCTTGGCTCACGTGGATGGCTAAATTTTTAAATGAGTGGGGTTACTTTTTTCTTTTTTTGTCTGGAATACAGCCCAGATAATGGAGGAAAAGGGGATTTGGGGGAAAACACTATTTATTTAACTTTACAAGCAGTTTCAAGATGGTTTGCATTATAAAATGCCAGACATGTAAAGAGAAAATAATGCTCGTATGATGACGTATGGTCTAATTTTGGGGGGATGTTTATATGCCTAGAACATTTTTTTCTAAGCTCAAACTGATTGGTTTTTGGTTCTGGGTTTATGCTAATCTGCATGGATATTTTGTATTAGTTGAAATTGATGAATGTTCTGAGGCTGAGAAATAGGAGTAGCATATATATATGGATTTCCTATACTAACATGAGATGATGCTGTGTATTTCTACTGAAGAATGAGATTTGACTGTCATCGTCCATGGGTTTCATAATGTGTGATAGCCTGGCTAACTAATTCCTTTATGGTTAGGTGTTAAATGTAATCGAAAACAGTTGTCTTATGTTCTATATGTTTACTAAATTTTAGGACCATTTTATCTTTAGCAAATGAATTAATGAGACCTATTTCTGCCCTTTTCCTCTTAGTTTTTGTATTTTTTGACCTGACTGTAGATGATCAGTCAGTTTATCCTAAGGAATTAAGAGATGAATACATCATGTCAAAGACTCTTGGAAGGTAAATTGTTTTTTGTTGTTATGGAAATTGCAGTTCATTTTATTCTAAACATTTGTCATTGATTAGGTTCTTGTTCCTGGTTTTATAACATTCATATTTGTAGAACAACTGTTTGTGATAGGCATGTTATTGATTTATTTGATTATGATCAATTGAAATGAATAGTTTTCCTTATAAATTTTATCTTTGATAGCTCAATAAAGTGGCTTTAAAAAACTTGGTATTCACAGGGGTGCCTGGCTTTTACTCAGTTGGAAGAGCATGCAACTTGATCTCAGGGTTGTGAATTGGAGCCCCATGTTGGGTGTAGAGTTACTTAAAAATAAATAATAACATTTAAAAAAGTTATTACTCACATACCATACAATTCACCCATATAAAGGTGTACAATTTAGTGATTTTTAATTTTTTTAATGTTTATTATTTTTTAGAGAGAGAGAGAAAGAGAGAGTGGGAAAGGGGCAGAGAGAGAGGGAGACACAGAATCTGAAGCAGGCTCCAGGCTCTGAGCCCTCAGCCCAGAGCCAGATGTGGGGCTCAAACTCCTGAACCGCGAGATCATGCCCTGAGCCAAAGTCGGATGTTAAACCGACTGCGCCACCCAGGTGCCCCAAAATAAATAATGTTTTTAATGCAGAATAATTATTTAAGTAAAGATTAGTGAGAAGAGAGGTGCTGTTTCACATTTTTGCATATCTCTTTGATATCTGGCTTACTAGAAAATGGCTAGATCCTGATATTTGCTTCTTTGTTCAGTCTCTTGTAATGTCACATGTCATGGAGCCTTTGGAAAACTCTGTATGCTCGTGAGAGAATAAGGATGAAAAAGGCAATTAGTGTCTTAGTATTACTCTGCACATAGTTTGACTTTGTGAACACCCTGAAAGTGTCCTGGGGTTCCTTAGTGGTTACCTGATCCTACTTTGAGAACCACATCCTTAGGGACACCTTTACTGCATTGCACCACGTCCTTCACTCTCCCACCCCTCCCCCACTCCCAGGGGCCTTTCTCTATTGACATTTTTGGAAACATCAAAGTACAAATTAATAGAAGGAAATAGTCACCCATAAACTCAGACTCAAACACAGTGTACTCTTTATAACCATCTATGGGTGATATTTTAGTTTATGGATATTAAATTCAGTAACTCACTCTGTTTTCACATTTGCATTGGTGCTTGGAAGTTTATAGCCAGATTTGTGCCCACCCCTAAGAAATGTATAGGACTCTGATTTTTTCTAAGGGAGGATTCAACACAAATCTAACTTCTATCAGGTGACAGAAACAACTCACATGAGTCAGGTAAGAAGAGAAATTTACTGGCTCTTGTAACTAGGAGACACATGGGCATGGCTGATTTCAGGTGCGACTGGACCAGGTGGACTTTAGGGCTTTCTGTCATTGAATTCTGATGACCTGTGTGGCTGTATCTGTGGCTGGATTTAAGGGTCCTCCAGTGTTGCCAGGGCACTGGCTTCATCTTTTAATTTAGCTACTATCAATTGTCTTCCTATAGATTTGCTTTCTCCATGTGGCAGAAAAAATGGCTTCCAGAAGCCCCACATTCATATTTTCTACCTTGTAGAAACCACTGCAGAGAGAACTTCCCCAACATTAGCATTTGATTCCAGGGGAAACGTTGTTTGGCTCCATTTTGGTTACATGGTCCATCCCGTGGTACTCTTATAGGCTCTCCATTAGAGCTATATTGATTCAGGGAAGGTTTCTCAGGCAAAAGGTGACTGTTTTAGAAGGGGAATTAGAAAGTGTTTTGAACAGATTTTAAAAAATAATAGTTACAGGGACCATTATGTCACACCATATACAAAAATTAACTCAAAAGGAAAAATAAAACTAAGTGTAAGAGATAAAGCTATAAAGCTGTAAAAAGAAAACAGGGGTAACTCTGATCATGAGGTGAAGTCGAACATTTAACTGACTGAGCCACCCAGGTGCCCTGGCAGTGGTTTTTTAATTATGGCATCAGAGGCACAAGCAACAAAGGGAAGAAAAATAGATAAATTAGACTCCATCAAATTTAAAAACTTTAGTGCATCAAGACATCATCAGAGGAGTGAAATACAACCCATGGAATGAGAGAAAATATTTGCAGATCATTTATCTGATAAGGATCTAGTACTCATAAAAAAGAACTATTATAACTCAACAATAAAAACAACCCAATTTACAAATGGGCACAGGATTTAAATAGACTTCTCCAAAGATCTACAAATGAGCAAAAACCATGTGAGAAGATGCTCAGCATCATTTATCATGAGGGAAATGCAAATCAGAACCACAGAGGATACTACTTCACAGCCCCTAGGATGACCATGGTAAAGAAGTGCAAGGTAGCAAGTGTTTGTGAGGATGTAGAGAAATCAGATCCCCTATACACTACTGGTGGGAAGGTAAGATGGTGTAGCCACTGTGGAAAATAGTTTCTTGGTTTCTCGAAAAGTTAAGCATAGAATTACCCTATGACCCATGATTCCCCTTGTGGGTATATAATACCCCTCCCCAGGTTGACAATAGGTGTTCAAGTAAAAATTTATGCATATATGTTCACAGCATGTACCCAAAAGGTGGAAACACCCCAAATAAATAGGTAAACAACATGTGATTTATTCATACAATGAGATATTACTTAGTTATAAAAAAGAATGAACTACCGACCCACGCATGGGTAAACCTTGAAAACATGCTGAGTGGAAGGAGCCAGATACAAAGGGCCACATATTGTGTGATTTCATTGATATGGGATATTCAGAACAGGCAAATCTATTGAGACAAAGCAGATTAGTGGCTCCTAGCATCTGGGGGAAGAGTAGAATGGGGGTGGGGTTTCCATTTAGTCTCATGAAAAAATTCTGGAGCAAGATGAGGGTGATGTTGCATAGCACTGTGGATGGACTTAATGCTACCAGTTAATCTACCCCAGTTGTAGATTTTAAAATGATAACAGTGATAAATTTTACGTATATACAAAATACACGATAAAAAGGATGTCTTGACGAACTCATCGTCCCACCCCAAACTCCCAAATAGTTATAGTCTACTTGGGACATGTAATGAATGGTTGATACTTGAGTAGCCATTGGGCTGACCCAAGCTTTGGAGAGCAGAGCCCATTGGGTTACCTGTATCCTGGATATTATTCCTCTTCCATTATGGTGTCCCAATTAATTGCAAGTCTTTAAGAGTTTGCTGCAATTAGGTTAATTGTGTAATACTTTTGGTTCTTAGTTATTGTGATTTTATTTAGGGTGCAGTTCATGGCATCAACTATGACACTTCGTTTGAATAAGAAAGAACGTATCAATGAAAATAATTCATTTGCAGTTACAGCTATCTGCTGTAACTTGTGTCAGGCACTCATTTTTTTTCTAGGACTTTGTTCTATGTGATGTTTCTCTACTTCTAGGATAAGTAACTTCCGTCTTATTTGTTCTTAGTGTCTTTCTGAGGATTTCACATTCTGGGGTGCCAGTAGTACTTAAGTCTGTATCACTCAGCTCAAAAAGTGGAATTTGGAGCTGACTCAGTGCTTTTGGATGGTCCATGTTCACTTATGCCCTTGACATTTTACATTGGTGAGGTTTCATTGTGTTGTTTGAAAACAGGGACAATGGAAGGGTTGTATGTGGACAGTGTTTAACTTATAAACTGATCTGGGCTAAAGTGTTAAGCCCAGTTCAGGAGTGATGAACCATTCTGACAACTGATCATTTCATGTTTCTGTCTGTAGTGGTGCCTGTGGTGAGGTGAAGCTAGCTTTTGAAAGGAAAACATGTAAGAAAGTAGCCATAAAAATCATCAGCAAGAGGAAGTTTGCTGTTGGCCCTGAGAGAGAGGCAGTAAGTACCCGTGTTTGTGATGCTCACCTGATTTTTAACACTTCTGAACTTACCCAAATAATTTTACGGTGGTGCTTTTCTTTTTTCTTTTTTTAATTAAGTTTTTATTTATTTTGAGAAAAAGGGAGAGCAAGCAGGGGAGGGGCAGAGAGAGAGGGAAAGAGGGAAATCCCAAGCAAGCTTTGCACTGTGCAGAGCCTGATGCCAGGCTCAAATGCACAAACAGTGAGATCACAACCTGAGCTGAAGTCAAATGCTTAACTGACTGAGCCACCAACGTGCCCCTAGAATGGTGATTTTCAGTGTCAGGAAGGATTCATTGTTTACGTATGTGAATTTGTATTAAATAGCATTGAAATATTTTGAATATATTCAGTTAACCTAGAAAGTTACTTATCCATAGTTTGGTTCGAAAAATATATTGTTGTACATAATAATGTACCAGCAGGAAGTTTTTTTTTTTTCCCCCCAGGTTGTTAGAAGTTTTTACAGTACATGAAAGGAAATTGGGGGATGTCTGGGTGGCTCCGTCAGTTAAGTGTCCGACTCTTGATTTCAGCTCAGGCCATGAGTTCGAGCCCCATGTGGGGCTCTGCACTGGTAGCACAGAACCTGCTTGGGATTCTCTCTTTCCTCTCTCTGCCCCTCCCCTGCTCGTTCTCTCTCTTTCTCTCTCTCTCTCCCTCTTGCTCTCTATTTCTCTCAAAAAAAAAAAATTAAAAAAAAAAGAAAGGAAACGTAGGGGAAAAAACAACCCAGCTATAGCCCACCATTGTAACTCCACAGCTGTTTCCAGTTTTCTTTTTCCTCCTAGTCCTTGTTCATACAAATTTGCATTTTTAGATGGTTGAAATCATACTGTATATACAATTTTGTGTTCTACTTTTCCACATAAGCATTAATGCATAAACTTTCCCCAAATTGATGCTTTTGGATAATTAAGCCTCTATTTCATGAACTTTATTGTAATTCACCCTTTTCTCTGTTTGATCATTTATGTAATTTCTAATCCTTTGTTCTTTCCAATAATGAAGCGGTGAATACCTTGGCATCAATAGATTTTTAAAAATCCTAATTATTTAATAGTCTCTGTATAGTAGCTGTTCATTATATTGCATTCTCTGTAATATACATTTAGCGCATTGGTGAAATAGTCAAATGTGTTGGTCTTTCAACACCCCCGCCCAACAGAGTAATGTAAAATGAGGTCTCTAATCACATTTTCCTTTGTGGCCAGCTGTTTCTGGCCATTATACTCTAACATTCTTTAAAGATCAATTCCCCCTGCCCCCAAGACAATGCCATTTTCACATGGCAAGAGGAATTTCCTTTCTGTGTTCACTTTGCTACAGATCTTTTTCCCCTGTGATTCTGGATTTGTTTCCTGTTGGGGAGGGGGGTGTGGTGGGGAAGAAAATACCTACCATTCTTGAAGACTTGGAGCAAAATTTTACCTCTTAATTTCATCTTTCAAATCAGATTGGACTCTTTTAGACCTCTCTATCATCAGAGTATGCCCTGACTAATGAGTTTAACAGCTTACAGGAAGAGGCAGGCTTTTAAAATTAAACATCTGGGTTTCTTAGCCGAAGTCCATTTTACATAAATATGTAATTCTATATCCTCTTTGCTTTGGAGGGTGTAGCCCTTGAGGTTGAGTAACTTGATTCATCCTTTTCGAATTGGAACAGAGAGCAACATCGGTCCCCTGATGCTTCCTCTTGTTGGTGTCTCCGTAGATATGTTAGCCTGCAGTAAATTGGAACCTGTGTCTGCTCTATTATTAGAAATTTGGCTTGACATTTTCTTTATATAATTTAATTAAATACCTCTTGTCTGTGGTGTTTATTGTTGTATCACTTTTACGAGTATAAATTCCACAGCCAGAGAGACCGAGCTTACAACTAATATTACACTGTATGTTAACTAATCGGAATTCCAATAAAAACTTAAAAAAAAGAAGAGAGAGGCAGAGACAGAACTTACCAGGTTTAAGCATGAGAACAGTGGAAACACACTTGTTTCTGGCTGTGAGAACTAGAGCAAGTGGCTTCCTTTCTCTGAGCCTCAGTTACTCCATCTGTGAAATGGGGATAATTCTAGAACCCAGTTCACTTTGAGACTATGAGACTTATTAAGTAAAATGATTTTTTTTCTTTTTTAAATGATAAGTTTATTTATTTATTTTGAGAGAGAGCATGAGAAGGGGAGGGGAGAGAGAGGGGGAGAGAGAGAGAGAGAGAGAGAGAGAGAGCATCCCAAGCAGGCTCTGCAGGGTTTGTGCAGAGCCCGACGTGGGGCTCAGACTCACAAACCATGAGATGATGACCTGAGCCAAAATCAAGAGTCTGATGCTTAACTGACTGAGCCACCCAGGTGCACCCCAAAATGACTCTTAAATAAAGACGTTGACATAGGGCCTTGTTGTTTACTGAATGCTTACTATTTGCCAAGCACTTTTCAGTGATTTTATAGGGGGAGTTATTTAATTGATCGACCTCTAATCCTTGATTAGTAGGGCTGAGTGTGGAACTCAGACAGCTTTTACTCTAATAAGTTTTAAATAAGTATTTTCCAAGTATTGACTATTATAATATGTAGTAAACTTTAATGTTATTTTTTTTATCAAAGGATCCAGCTCTCAATGTTGAAACAGAAATAGAAATTTTGAAAAAACTAAATCATGTAAGTATTGCTGTAAAATATGACCCAGACTTACTTACATTCATTCCTCTCAAAATATGGGTGGAGTACAAAGTATTTCAGTGTAATCAAGTTAATCAAGTTAGTTATTAACTTGGGTTACTTAAATGTATGTGTGTGTGTGTACATGTGTACACATGTGTGGGTACACATGTATGGGTGTATGTGCTTATCTATAATTTAGCTGGGAAAAGCTTTGCCCTGAAATTTGAGAGGACAATACTGTATAAAGATTTCATGATTAAATAACTATTGTATTTCCACTGAGTGATTTTTTTTTTGTCTCAAACACATGGTAAATTTCCTTAATATTTTATCTCATATTGTTTATGGGAAGACAGTATCAATTTGGTAAATTTGGTTTAATTATACTGGAAGTTTCAGTACCTCTAGATACCTTTTGGTTGTGCTGATTTCTGTTTACCTCAGTGGGTGTAAATAGTTCCTATCTTTTTTGTGCAATGATGACCTTGTCTCACTGGAAAGTGAGTCTGCCTTTTTTTTTTTTTTTTTTTTTTGGTAATGTTTATTTTTGAGAGAGAGAGAGAATAAGTGGGGTCGGTAGGGACAGAGAGAGAAGGAGACACAGAATTCAAAGCAAGCTCCAGGCTATGAGCTGTCAGCACAGGGCCAGATGTGGGGTTCAAACCCATGAACCATGAGATCATGACCTGAGCTGAAGTTGGATGCTCACTGACTGAGACACCCATGCACCCCCTGAATTAGCCTTCCTGTCCCCCCAAGGGATCTGGAATCTTTTGTTAAAGAGAGGAGCCCTCTAATTTTCTGGGGTGGGGTTGCTTCAAACATACTCCTAAGATAAACACTTAGAATCCTCAGAGAGTTTTTTTCTGATATCAGAGGATCCCCAAACATAACATTTACACAAATCCAATGTCCAGTGCAGTCGAGAGGAATTGAGAACCCTCAAAAAAGATCTCTGGAGCTAATTTCTTGGCAGTTTACAAGGGCATGTGGAAAGCTCTTGGAAATGAAATACAGGCTTATGAGTGCATTTGAGGGATAATGAGTAGAGCCTGGTAGCCTAGCAGAGCCTGGCATTTGGAGCCAGGCATTGATTCAGTCTGTTGTTAAACATGTACCGTGCCAGCCTGTCTTCTAGCCCGGGGGGGAGAAGGGGAATGGCGAGCACAAATGGACTTGGCCATCCCTCCCCTCCTCCAGTTTCAGCCTAATGGGGAGACAGACCTGGGTTCCCATGCCCATCTTGCTGGCCTCCTGGCTCTAAGAAAGTCATTTCACTTTTCAACATCTCTGTTTCCTTATCTGTGCAGTGGAGACAATACAGATACATACCTTAAAGGTCAGTGTGGGAATTCGATGAGATGTGCTTGCCAAGCCTTGCACATGGAGAACATGCTTGGGGGAATGTTTTGCGGTCTGGAGAGATCACTGTCATTCCCTAAACTTCTCCCTGTATGATCTAAGTGGAGGGCTTAGGGTAGTAGCCTCTCATTCATGAGAGACCCCTTCAGCTGCAATGCTGCAGCCAATGAACGGCCCTAGAGATGGTGGCGTCTTAGAGGAGGCAGCTCCCGCAGGCTCTGACTGTTGGGTACCTCCTCATGCTCTGCCAGCTCCCAGACCAGGCCATGCCCAAGTGGGCACCGGCCCTGTCTCATGATGCCAGACAGAACCAAGCAGCTCTCATCTGTTGCTCTGATCTCCTATTCCTTTTCCATGTGTGCCTTTTTTTCTGCTTCTTTATTATATGAAGATATCACATGCATATGATCTAGAGAGAATCCCAAGCAGGCTCAAACTCACGAACCATGGGATCATAACCTGAGCTGAAATTGGACTCTTAACTGACTGAGCATCCCAGGACCCCCTATCAATGTTAGATAGGCTGTAGCCTTCTTGTGACAGTATATGAGAATTTTAGTTCCCCTTTGCATTCCTTTTAATGTAATATTACAGCGCATATCCAGTGTCTTCATTCTTGTGGCAGGAACAACTAGTGATGCAGAGCCAAGTATGTTATGATCTTAGGTAAGGAGTGGTGTTGCTGGTTTGCTCTCAGCCTCACTCTCACGGTGTGTGTGCCACAACTAAAATGTGGTGGCAGAGTCCACCCTCAGTGGGTCATGTTTCTATTAGTGCTGCTGTTCGTATTAGTCTGTGCAGCACATGAATGTCTCCTGTGTGCCAGCTGCTGCGCTCAATGTTGGTGTTAGAAAGAGAAATAAGACTTGACTCAGCCTGCCAAGGACCTGATGAAAGGAGACCCATGGTGGGAGTTAGTTTCCCGTTTCTGCGTTCCTGGAGCTCGCAGTCTGATGGGGAGACAGATCTTGAAGATGCAGCATGAGGCCACAAAGATGAGAACCAATGCGGGGCACTGTGGATGCATTCCAAGGGTGACATTTGAGCGAGGGCCTGATGCTGGAGGCCAGGTGTGCCGAGAGGGCTGGATCAGCAGGTGGGAGCGCAGCAACCACAGGTGTGACATTGGGAAAGAACACAGGGAGTCTGGGGCAGGCGGGGTGTTTTATGGCCTGGAGAGGAGGATGCCTGGGCCCAGGTGCAGGAGATCTGGCCGTGGTGGGGGGCAGGGGCAGGACATGGCTGGGTCTCCAGGGTTTGCTAATCCTGCTGAAAGTTAGTTTTCCAAAGGTTTTCTTTCCTCTTGTCTTACTTTCTGCCTTTCTTATCTTTCCTTCCATCTCCCCCTCCTGATTGGTTTCCTTTCCTTCCTTTAAATATGTTTAAATTATATAACATTTGGCACATGTAAAACAATAAATTATGAAGCAAAATGATGAAACAAATACCTTAGAACTCACCATTCAACTTAAGAATGAAAACTTGAGGGGCACCTGGGTGGCTCAGTTGGTTAAGTGTCCAACTCTTCATTTTGCCTTAGGCCATGATCTCACTGTTAGTGGGTTTGAGCCCCACTCTGGGCTCTGAGCTGTCACTGCTGAGCCTGCTTGGGATTCTCTCTCTCTCTGTTCCTCCCCTGCTCATGCTTTCTCTCTCCCTCTCTCTCTCTCTCTCTCTCTCTCTCAAAAAAAAAAGTAAAATAAAATAAAAAATATAAAAGAATGAAAACTTGACCATGCAATTGAAGCTACTTCCTATACTCTGAAGTATTTCCTGACTTGTCTTTTCCACTTGGCATTATGTTTCCAGGATCCCTTGTGCTGGAGGAAGCAGTGGGGCATCTGTTCACTGTTGTTTAATGGTTCATTATGGGAAGCTACTACTTGGAAGATTTTAACGTTTATTTATTTTAAGAGATAGAGAGCAGGGGAGGGGCAGAGAGAGAGGGAGAGAGAGAATCTTAAGCAACTTTATGTTGTCAGAACAGATGGATGCAGGGCTCAATCGCATGAACCATGAGATCATGACCTGAGCTGAAAGCAACAATTGGATGCTTAACAGACTTAGCCACCCAGGTACCGCATACTACTTGGAGGATTTTAACCAGAGCAGTGGATGTGATGAAATTTGCTTTGTAGGACAGTCACTCTGGCCAGTTTTGCTACTCTTTTTACTGTAAAATCTAGAAATCGTGTAACTCTCTTCCCTTTACTAAAAAAAATTTTTTTTTCTCCTGGGTGGCTCAGTAGGTTAAGCTTCTGACTTTGGCTCAGGTCATGATCTCATTGTTTGTGGGTTTGAGCCCCATGTCGGGCTCTGTGCTGACAGCCAGCTCAGAGCCTGGAGCCTGCTCTGGATTCTGTGACTCCCTCTCTCTCTGACCCTCTCCTGCTCACGTTCTCTCTCTCTTTCAGAAATAAATAAAACATTAAAAAAATTTTTTTTTAATGTTTATTCATTTTTGAGAGAAAGAGTATGAGCAGGGGAGGGACAGAGAGAGGGGGAGACACAGAATCCAAAGCAGGCTCCAGGCTCTGAGCTGTCAGCACAGATCCTGACTCAGGGCTCGAACTCATGAACCATGAACCGCGAGATCATGACCTGAGGTTAGGCCCTTAACCGACTGAGCCACCCAGGTGTCCCTTCCCTTTAATTTTGATAAACTACAAGCCTTCTCTCTGCTTGGGGGTGGGGTATGTCCCTGATAGATACTTACCACATCTTTGACCACTCAACTCTACTGTCTATTCTTCATATTGTAAAAACAATAAGTGTGCTTTCTAAGTATAAAATCATATTAGGGGTACCTGGGTGGCTCATTTGGCTAAGTGTCCAACTCTTGATTTTGGCTCAGGTCATGATCTCAGGGATCATGAGTTTGAGCTCTTCATCAGGCTCTGTGCAGACAGGCTGTTTTGCCTTTTCTGCTATGTGAACTTCAGAGTGCCTTGAGGCAGGGGGCAAATGCCTCCATTCTGCTCCTGGGTTTTCCTCTTGGGACTTTGTTGCTACTTTTCTTCTTTTTTTCCCCTCTTAGCCTTGTATCATCAAGATCAAAGACTTTTTTGAGGCTGAAGATTATTACATTGTTTTGGAATTGTAAGTAATAAACTTTTCTATTTGTTTCCATTCAAGTGGTTGTAAACCACCAAAGAATCTAATGCTGGATCGCATTTCTCATCGTGGGGACCCTCGTCATATGTATGGGGGGGTGGGGCCCACAAAGTGTGCGTGTGGGGTTAGTACTGATTCTAAAATCCCTCCAGTGTTTAAGGCACATGGCGTAGAGGTTCCAGGCCCTGGGTCTGAGGCCTGGGTTTGAATCCCACTTGCAGGTGACTGTGAGTTAGTTTACTTCATGTTCCCCAGTCTTATTTTTGTAGTGTTGGTGGCGGGAGGGGAGTGGTGGTGATGGTAATAATAATACCCCCATATGCAGAGTCATAAGGATTAAATACTATGAAGGATGGAAAGTGCCCAGCAGAGTACCTGGCACACAAAGTTGTTCAACCACTGGTGGATATTATACTTTGACATACCTGCCTGGGTGGATATCTCTGCTCTCGATCACAGTGCTTAGCGGCATGGTGACACCTGATTATCTTTTCGCTGCTGGTTTACTTGCTAGTTTTCTCGGTAACCACAAAGTCCTGTCTTCTGTGGTGTGACCAAAATAATTTCCTGGCTCATTTCTGGAAGGGGCCTGTCTTGATGTTCATTCCTGCATAAATATATAGTGGCTGTTGAAGCAGACCAGCAAGGCTTTGCTCCTGAGTGGTACCAGGCTAAAGAGGATGACCAGTAAGATTTTATAGTAAACAGCTTCAATCATAGCACTAGGAAAGACTGGATGGTCCCTGTGGTGCTTAAGGAAATATTTGTTGCTGTCTAACTGGATGTAGTTTTTTTTTTATTAAACTTTTTAATGTTTATTTTTGAGAGACAGAGACAGATTGTGAGTGGGGGAGGAGCAGAGAGAGAGAAAGACACAGAATCTGAAGCAGGCTCCAGGCTCTGAGCTGTCAGCACAGAACCCGACATAGGGCTTGAACTCATGAACCATGAGATCATGACCTGAGCCGAAGTCGACCGCTTAACCAACTGAGCCACCCAGGTGCCCCTAACTGGGCCTAGTTAAAAGAGTAACAGTACAATAATAGTCACTGATTACTAATTACTTACTATGAGCCAATTGCTGCTCTAAACATTTCACATGGATTGACCCATTTACCCTTCATAACAGTCATCCATGTTACTTACAGGTTACTGATGGGTGAGGGTCTTTAGCCCCACTTTACAGAAAAGGAAACTGAAATTCAGAGGGATTGGATAACCCCACCAAGCAGCCACTTATGCCTTACCTACCTGAATTCTCTTAATTTTTACCACAGCCATCAAGGTAGGGGAAGGATTGTCCCTATTTTTTTTAGGAGGCAGAAACAAGCTCTGAGAGGGTATGTAACTTGCCCAAAGCTACAGAGCTAGGAATGGGGGGTGGGGGACTGGGGTCTGTTGTCTGTGGGCTCCTGTTTGCTGCTCTGTCCCAGTCTCAGAATCACCTGGGGTGTGTGATGAAAATGCAGACTCTTAGGCTCCACCTCCCCTCTACTGAGTCAGATTCTTTTTTTTTTTTTTAAATTTATTCCTTGGAGAGAGACAGAGAGACAGCGCCAGCAGGGGAGGGTCAGAGAGAGAGGGAGTCACAGACTGAAACAGGCTCCAGGCTCTGAGCTGGCAGTCAGCACAGAGCCCGACGCGGGGCCCGAACCCACGAACCGCGAGATCATGACCTAAGCGAAAGTCGGACGCTCAACCGACTAAGCCACCCAGGCGCCCCTACTGAGTCAGATTCTTAAAAGCTTCCAAGTGCCTACCGCCCACTGCCCATTCCTTCCATCTTTCCCCATTCCTTAGTTTCCAATGAGGACATCTTCATTGTGGAGAGGAGACTTACTACCTCATTGCTTGTCCTCATGAGTGAATAAAAAAGGCAGCTCTTTGCCTGTCTGCATGAGTTTGCTTTGTTTGTGTTATTATCTTCCCTCCAAGTGAGTTTCCATCCAGGAACCACCCCCCTGCTTTGCCTGTTTGTTTCAGGATGGAAGGAGGAGAGCTGTTTGACAGGGTGGTGGGGAATAAACGCCTGAAAGAAGCTACGTGCAAGCTCTATTTTTATCAGATGCTCCTGGCTGTACAGGTAAGAGAAGCCCTCACTCAGTTCTTTTTTTTTTTTTTTTAAGTTTATTTATTTTGAGAGAGAGCAAAAGCAAGCACATGTGCAGGGAGGGACAGAGAGAGAAGGAGAAGGAATCGTAAGCAGACTCCATGCTGTCAGCACAGAGCCTGACATGGGGCTCAGTCTCACAAAATATGAGATCTGGGTGCCTGGTGGCTCAGTTGGTTGAGCGTCCGACTTTGACTCAGGTCATGATCTCATAGCGTGTGAGTTTAAGCCCCGTGTTCGGCTCTGCACTGAAAGCTCAGAGCCTGGAGCCTCTTTTGGGTTCTGTGTCTCCCTCTCTCTCTGCCCCTTCCCTGCTCACGCTCTGTCTCTGTCTCTCTATTTTTATTTATTAAAAATAAATAAACATTAATTTTTTTTTTAAATTCTCAGGAAGAGAATGATCAAATACATTATTTCAGTGGAATTTTTATGGTTTACTTTAATAAATTCTCAAAATACTTTAATCACCCATTTACATTTTTATTATTGATATTGACACCTTAGATTTCTGCCTTTGCAAAGGGATATTTATTATTCTGAAGAGTGAAATGGTCTGTTGTCATAAGCTGCAGTTTTCATTTTTCCTACTTTTTAAAGATTTAAAAAAAAATAGTCTCCAATGTGGGGCTCAAGCTCACAACCCCAAGATCAAGAGTGGTATGATCTACTACTGACTGAGCCAGCCAGGTGCCCCCAAAGATTTTCCTGAAAACAAATTTATAAACACTAAGCCTATTACTCAGTAGTTTCCTATGATTTGGCGTAATATGGTTGTGAGTAACCTGGCTTATACAATTTCAATCTAGCTGTAAGGGGTGTTTGTGTGTGTGTGTGGGGGGGGGTGTCTTGTCTGTCTGTCTTTACTCACATACCTACTCCATAAACCCGTGGGTCATGCCTTCCTTTCTGTACAGTATCTTCATGAAAATGGCATTATACATCGGGACTTAAAGCCAGAGAATGTTTTACTCTCATCTCAAAAAGAGGACTGTCTTATAAAGGTAAGAAAATTCTTTTTGGCCAGCCCAGATATCTGTTCATAAACTTTAAAAATTCATCAAGTAAAAAGTGGGAACATAAAAAGGTAGAGAATTTGACCTTTCCATTATTAGCAGTTATTTTAGAGATCAGGTGGTATTGCTCTGATCCAGATTCTAATGGGCATTTGCTGAGCTCCACTGTATATGAGCCACTTTTGTTCAGAAAATGGAAGGAGGGGTCTAGATGGATGAGAGAATCATATCTCCTAGCTTCCCCTGCTTTCTAAGGTGGTGCTTCCCAATCCTGGCTTCACTATAGAATCTCCTATTGATTGAAAGAATAAAGAAAAGTCACAACACCCAGGCTTCATCTCAACCACTGAAGGTGGCATCCAGGTACCAAGTATTTTTTCCAAGCTCCTTAGGTAATTCAATGTTGGAATATTGAAGAAAAATCATGAATAACTCATTAGGACCCTAGAGTCTGTGATAAGGGTTACAAACTTTTTATAAGATTACAGAGAACCACAGATAAATTGGAGAAAAAGCCTTGAGCATCCTTGGCTTGGAAATTTTAGTTTAAACAAAATTCCGGAATAACAATAGGCATGGACTGTCTAGGATAGGAACTGATCTAGCCTGCATGGCTTTTGGGACTGGCAGACTATGCTAATCTTTAAATTTATTTCACCATTAAAAATGATTCCCTTTTGTCCTTAATTTTAGATTACTGATTTTGGGCAGTCTAAGATTTTGGGGGAGACCTCTCTCATGAGAACATTATGTGGTACCCCTACCTACCTGGCTCCTGAGGTTCTTAATTCCTTTGGGACTGCCGGATATAACCGAGCTGTGGATTGCTGGAGTTTAGGAGTTATTCTTTTTATTTGGTAAGAAAAGTTTCATTGCTTCAGAGTCTGGTTGGAGGTAATTAGGTGAAATCAGAAACGTGTCCAGGTAGATAGCTTGTGTTTAATTTGGGTGACTTTTTTTGACCATTGATTTAAAGAAAAATCTAATCTATATGTCCAAATCGCCACTGAGAATGCTACTTGATTTCTTTTCCCTTCTCTCTCTACCAATGTTAAGCCTTAGTGGGTATCCACCTTTCTCGGAGCATAAGACTCAAGTGTCCTTGAAGGATCAGATCACCAGTGGAAAATTCAACTTCATTCCTGAAGTCTGGGCAGAGGTCTCAGAGAAGGGTATGGATATGAAAAGGTTACAAATTTGTCATTTGGTAAAATATGTGTGTACCATGGTGGGAATTTCTTTTCAAATTATTATGTTTCTCCTGTTACTTCTTATTTTCTGTTGTTTGTTTTGCACCTTTGGAGGGGCAAAGGAAGTTATTGGAACATGGGCTCCACAAGCAAGCTGAGTGAGGCTCATGTTTTGGGTTGGCTACTTCCTAGCTATGTGACCTTAGGCAAGATACATAACCTCTCTGAGTCACCCTTTCCTTTATATGTAAAGCGGGTACATTAAACTCTTAAAGGGTTTTTGTGGGGGTAAATGGAATACAAGGAAGTGCCTGGTACCTATTTAAACATACAAAATCATAAGTTACAAAGTCTCCTGTGAGTGAGCATGTAAGAGCTAAAGTAATTACTCTGTGTTTTAGGATGTAAAAGTGTAACTTTGTAATTCTCAAAAGGAAAAGTAGAAAACTGAAGCTAAATGTCAAGTAATACAGGTGATTCTATTAAATCTTAGAATGTCAAAGGAATAATATTGTTGCAATATAAAAGCCAGCCCTGGTATGTTGCTTGCCGTCAGGCTTTGTTTTTGCCAAGCCTGCAGTTGCAAGGAACCTGCTGCTGGCTGAGAAACTCTCACTGTCAGTCCATGGGAGGAGAGTTGGCCGAATGTCCTGGGCATCTTAGAACTAGGTAGAAGTTCAGATTTAATTAGCTTGAACTGGAATCCAGCAACGAGTTGCGGGAACAGGGGGTGAAGAGGTCGTGATGTGCAAGCAAGGAGAGATGGGGGGCATCAAGGTCATTCCTGGTGTTCTCTGAGAGCTCTGAATACAGAGAATGGGGTGGCCTGGGGGCCCTGCCCACCACACCTGCTGGCTTACAATGACCTTGGCCCCCCTCTCTCTTTCTGAATGTTGGCCTGTGATTCTGGCGTACTTTAATTTTGCTGATTTACTGGATCTACCTTTTTCACTGTGATGTGATAAATGATCCTATTGCTTTAGCTCTGGACCTTGTCAAGAAGTTGTTGATAGTGGATCCAAAGGTGCGTTTTACGACGGAAGAAGCTTTAAGACACCCGTGGCTTCAGGTGGGTATAGGGCAGTGCTTGCTAGCATAAACTATATAGGCAGCTCTCAGCTGTGCCTGAGGGACGAGGAAGAAGATGGAAACAGATTTGCTTTGTTGAGTCTGTTTAATGCGCTTGCTTGAGATTGAGTTTTAAGTGTGTCGGGTATGTTTATGTGTGCATATGGGCTGTGAGTATAGGTGTGTCTTTGGGTACAACCTTCTCAACCTAACTTGTGGCTCTTGGGTTGGACAGGCTCACTTTAGGGTCTGTCCTAGTTCGGGTTCCCTGAATGTGCAGTTTGGCTGTGGTACTTTGAGAGGTTGTTCTAAAGCTGGAAACCTCCAACCCCCACCCCCACCCCCCTGGGGTTTTCCAACCTCTTTCCTCAAACCTCCCACCCTGAACAGGTGGGATTGGCCGCATTCCAGCTGCCTTACCTCATGGGAACAGGGGAGGGAGGAGCAGGAGGGCAAATTCTCTGGGGGAGGATCTGGCTATTTGTTTAAGCCTAAGTAATTGGGCATACAGGGTCCCATTTCTTTTTTGGGGGGGGTAGGGGAGGGGCGGGAGGGGCAAGAGGAGCATCTTAAGCAGTCATGAGACTGTGAGGTCATGACCTGAGCCAAAATCAAGTGTCGGATGCTCGACAGACTGAGCCACCCAGGTGCCACTAAGGGTCCCGCTTCTTAGTCATGGTGAATAAACGTGCCATTACTGAAAAGTCACCTGCACCTTTGAAGTCTTTATTACCTAGGTGTCCCTCCAAGGGGTTGTGGCTGCTGTTAGATTATACCCCAACCTCATTCTAGCTGCCAGACGTGGAAGTCCTTTGTGGCTTTGCTGGACTAATCTTTGGTTTTAGAGTTAGCTCCAGCGTGGGGCAGGTTTTCTGATGGATGTCAGACCTTCTGTTAAGTGCGTTCCATTCAAGCGCAGCCATACCCATTTTTGTTAACTTCCATTTGGTCTGTTTCCCATGGGGATGGGGGACTTGACCAGCTAGCCTGAGCTAGAGGCTCAAGTACTGTGGGGATCTCCTGGTGCAAAGAGATCCTTGGGACCATCGATCCTCAGCACTGTGCTTCCGGAACTCCAGGAAGACTGCCTCTATTCTTGCTCTGTTCCAGCCCTCCGCACCTAACAATTTTGCTCAGGCTAGCTCAGGTTGAGAACAACAAAATCCTTAAAAGAAAAAAAAAAGTAGATACATTTGTTTGGGCGATTGCCCTGGAAACAGCAGTCTCCCCCCCCCCCCCCCAGAAGAAATCTGTCAGATGATTTAGCACTTAATAGACCACACAGATTTGAAACAGCAGGACCCTGGAGAAAAGGAATTTGGAAACAAAGGGTGCCTTTGCATGTGGGGATTTAATTTTGATGAAAAAGAGAAACATGCCTCTTGGCTCTTTTTATGTGCCCTAATAGGGAAACTCTTGGGGCCAGATGTGGAGGTGGAGGGGCTGTGTTTGCCTTGAAGCAAATGGAGCTTGCCAGTTAGGCCAGGGAACAGGGTCTGTAGCCGCCTGAAATTTACGAATGAGCATAGCCTATTTTTTCTTGTTTGTCTCCAAAGAAAACTGTGACCAACAACTGAGGACAAGGTGAAGTTCAGTCCTGCCACAGGGTCTCACTTGAATACTCTCTTGTCCACATTGTGTTTCTGCTGCAAAAGGTAGAACGAACACTGAGTGAGGACCAGAGTGCAGATACTGCCCACATAAATCATCTGCTAGTGTTAGTGTAGGTTTTATTTTGGGAAAATCCAGTGTTTTTGAAGAAGCCAAATGGTTTTGTGGGTCTGGCCCTGGACCGAGTGTTTGGAATGTGAGTTCCAGTCTCTCTTGTTACTAACAGTTCAGTTTGTGGAACATCCTTTACATCCATTTTCTTGGCCTCCTATTTACTTCTTGAAATAGAGAATTCCTTCCTCCTTGTCTTTGAGGCATATTACAGTAATATTTTTGAATAGATTGTAGAGGTCTCAAAGGAAGGGTATTTACAGTACAGATAGCCCATTATTACCTGTCATCTTTAATGAGCTCCTTTTCCATGTTATTGTTAATTGATGACTTGTTTAAGTACAGGCCAAAATAGGCTTGTGGTCAGTTCTGTTTGTCTGTACTGAAGGGCTGTCATCTGGGGCATTGGGGTGTGACTTCATCTCCTCATGCATGCATTCTTTCAGAGGATAGTTAATGAGTTCATGTGCCAGCACTTACTGGGGATGCAGAGAAGAGTAAGTTAGGTCCTTGACTTGGGGAGCTGATGGTCTGGGTGGGGGCCCACCCCGACTGCAGTCACAACAGAGCAGTGGGATACAAGGGTAGGTGCAGAGTGTGGGGGGATCCTCAGGATGAAACAGGGCCACCGTCTGTGGGGCTTCAGGTGCTCACAGGTTCACACAATATGAAGAGCATCTAAAGGCCCACTGGCCTGGGGATGACATGGGTGTATCAGTTTGCTGAGGCTGCTGTAACAAAATAACACAGACTGGGTGGCTTCCACGACAGGAATTCATATCCTCACAGTTCAAGAGGCTAGAAGACCCAATTTCAAGGTGTTGGCAGATCTGGTTTCTCCTGAGGCCTCTCTCCTTGCCTTGTAGGTGGCTGTCTTCTCTCTGTCCTCACATGGTCTTTTTTCTGTGCTTAAATCCCTGGTGTCTCTTTCTCTTCTTTTTTTATAAATTTTTTAAAAATTTATTTGTTTTTAAATGTTTTATTTCTGAGAGAGAGAGAGACAGAGAGAGAGACAGTGTGAGCAGGGGAGGGACAGAGAGGGAGACAGATTCTGAAGCAGGCTCCAAGACTCTGAGCTAGCTGTCAGCACAGAGCCTGAGGCGGGGCTTGAACCATGAACCGTGAGATCATGACCTGAGCCAAAGTCGGACACTTAACTGACTGAGCCACCCAGGTGCCTCCAAAATTTATTTATTTTTGAGAGAGAGAGAGACACCAAAAGCGCGAGAGCGCACGCAAGCACGAGCAGGGGAGGGGCAGAGAGAGAGAGAGGGAGACACAGAATCTCCCAGGAGATTCTTCTCCCTGGAGAAGCAGCTCCAGGCTTTGAGTTGTCAGCACAGAGCCCTATGCGGGGCTCGAACCCACGAACCGCGAGATCATGCTCTGAGCCAAGGTCAGGTGCTTTAACCGACAGAGCCACCCAGGCGCCCCTCATTCTCTTATGAGGACATCAATCATATTGGATTGTGACCCCACTCTAATGGCCTCATTTTAACTTAATTACCTTTTTAAAGGTCCTGTCTCCAAATAGTCACTGGAGGTTAGGGCTTTAGCACATAAACTTAGGGGATGGAGGTGGAGATAATTTAGTCCATAACACTGGGGGGCAGCATTTTCAGTGTTGGTTTTGTCCCTCTGACATGGCGACACCTGTGTCTTTTCTGGCGCCTGGCACCTGTGGCTGCTCAGGAAGTATTTGTTTACTGGGTGAATGAGAAGGGGGTGAGTTGGATGGGCAGGAAGGCAGGGAGGGCGTTGCTGGTGAAGGCTGTGAGCAGGTATGGGAGGAAATAAGGGAAGGAATTTTGAGAGTGGCATTATGTAGCAGGTGAGATCCTAAGGGAGATTGTAGAATCCGGGTGAACACGGTGTTCTCACAATGGGGAGTGGGGCGCTACACGGAGTGATGCAGCAAACCGTGTGATGGAAGCAGGCGATTCAGCTCCTAGATACAGAACAGGTGACCTAATCCCTGAACACTGCAGTTCTAAATGCATCAAACTGCTGAATGGTGGAGGCCTTCAGCCCTAGGTCCTCTGCTCCCCACTACCTCCACCCCGTGTTGCTCTTGGCTCAGTGCGGGGAGTGGGAATCACGGGGCTTCGGAATCAGGCAGCTGTGGGTCCGTATTGTGCACATGCTTGTGAGGGGCTGAGCCAGGCTTTCAGCTGGCCCCGTCCTAACCCTGGATGTTCACCTTTCTGAAGGGAGGGAGAGCTGCAGGTTACCTTTCAGGGTTCCCAGACGCCAATCCTTGGGCTTTGCAGAAGTGAACATTCCCGGAGGTGGGAATTACCCTCCCTGACAGCAGGGCAGGATTTCCATGTGTGCACATGCCTCCCTTTCCCCGCTTCTCCTTCTAGCAGCACAGAACCCCTGAAATGCTATGGTGTGTTCATCTGTCTTCCTTTGTCATTAGGATATTGTGAAGTCCTAGTGAGTCGTGTAGCACTCGCTGGGAGAATTTTCAGGGGGGGCCAGTAAATGACCTTATTGTTGGCATGGGGAGGGGGCACCTCCTGGAAAGATTTGGAGAGCTGCAGGGAGTCAGCCCTCAGGGAACTGATCCAGTCCCAGCCTCTGGCTTCCCCATTGCCATCTCTCAGGTTCTGGGATGCTGGTCCTGAAGGTCTGTTGACTGCTGATGTCTGTGGTTGTCTCTGCACCAATGACAACTCTGAGGCATGTGTGTTTGATGGAGCCAGTGTTGATTGATCATTGACTGCTGATTAGAATCCTCAGGGAAGGCAGAGGTGAGGAGGTGAGGTTCTTTCCCTCCTGGAGCCTCAGCGAGAGCTTGCCTTTTGGTGGATGGACTGGGTGTCCTTCCCCACCTTCCTCTTTCTAGGGGCAGCCTAGCTCTGTCTTTCTAGGAACTTTCTTTTCTTCATACACAGCCCACTTAAGTTTTTGTCATTTCTTCACAGGACGAGGACATGAAGAGAAAATTTCAGAATTTGCTTTTTGAAGAAAATAAGTCGCCAGCTCCATCCCAAGTCCCAGCCCAGGTATTCTGGATGATGGTCATTAAATGTAGCCTCAGTTAAAAATTTTTTTTTTAATATTTATTTATTTTTGAGACAGTGAGCAAGGAGTGGCAGAGAGAGAAGGAGACACAGAATCTGAAACAGGCTTCTGTCTCTGTGCTGTCAGTGCAGAACCTGCCATGGGCCTCCAACCCACAAACCATGAGATCATGACCTGAGCCAAAGTCGGATGCTTAATTGACTGAGCCACCCAGGTGCCCCATTGTAGCCTCAGTTTTATTTATTTATTTAAAAAAAAATTTTTTTTAAATGTTTTATTTCTGAGAGAGAAAGAGAGAGAGACAGCAACAGCGTGAGCAGGGGAGGGTCAGGGAGAGAGGGAGATACAGAATCTGAAACAGGCTCCAGGCTCTGAGCAGCTGTCAGCACAGAGCCCGACATGGGGCTCGAACCCACGAACCGTGAGATCATGACCTGAGCTGGAATCAGACACTTACCCAACTGAGCCACCCAGGCACCCCTGTAGCCTCAGTTTTAAAGAGCTAATGAGCAAGGATGAGGAGCTTGAAAGGTCTCCTTAGTAGCAATTGCTTAATATTTTTTGGAATAACATAGTAGCAATTCTGTTTCAACTTGATTGGCCCTAGCACCCTTAGAAGATTTAATAATGAAGAGTAAGTTTAATGCATTAGAGAAGCACAGCTAGGGATTGTCATTCAAGAGGTATCCTGCAAGGCAGAATTGGAAGACTCTATTAGGAGTTCAAATATAAACCTGTTGAAAATTTAAAATCTGGGTGAGCGGTTACTTACTGATTACAGTTTTATTCCTCTAAAGTTCTTTGTTAGTATAATTTAATGTCTATTCATTCCTATTCTGCCTTCTGTTGGTGAATAACATTCCCCCTTCCTACTTTCCCTGGGCATTTTATCAATGGTAAAACAAAGATACACACACACAAAGGTGGTCTTCCCACAAAAGAGCAAGACTTGGGGTTCCCAGCAAGAGGTATTGTGGTCCCTTTAAACTTCATAATTTAGGAGAATGATGGAGAGGAGGGAGGGCGGTTATGCTGCCTACTTTTAGTATTACATCAAGTGGTCAGAAGCCACAAGGAGAGAGAAGTGTCCATTTGACAAACATGTCTGAGCCCAGAGATGCGTGGTGAGGACTCAGATGTCCAGGGGACGACTCATAATTCTTGGTACCAGAAGTTTCACATGAAATGCTTCAAACTTACGGGAAGCATTAGTGGGGTACTTTGATAATCTTAAGCCAATGGTTTTCTTTGAACATTCCTCCCTTTTTATTTCCAGCCTTCCACCAGTCGAAAGCGGCTTCTTGAAGGGGAAGCAGAGGACGCGGACACCACAAAGCGTCTGGCTGTGTGCGCTGCTGTGTCGTGACACTGGTTGAATGAACGCAACCCGCCTTCTTTAACTCTGCTGCCATTTTCTTTAAGTCTGTGTTTTGTAATTATGGGGATGGTACCTTTTCCACGATCGTCAGTACACAATTCTAAACCCTTTGGGACCTGGGCTTTGTGCTTCTGCTTGATGATGAGCTCTTTAGTTGCACTGCCTTTTTTGTGTATTTGGAGTTGTGTGCTTTCTTTCTGAAACGTTTATCCATTTTTGAGAGAGAGTGAGCAAGTGCATGAGCAGGGGAGAGGCAGAGAGAGAGGAAGAGAGAGAATCCCGAACAGGCTCCAGGCACACTGTCAGCGTAGAGCCCAGTGCGGGGCCTGAACTCTCAAACCCAAGATCGTGACCAGAGCCAAAATCAAGAGTCAGACGTTTAACTGACTGAGCCATGCAGGTGGCCCTGAAGTTGTGTGCTTTTTGTCTGGTGATCTATGTTGGTTGGAACCTGTTGGGTTTCTCAGAACGTATCCCTGGCATCAGCCTGGGTGAGCTGCGTACAGATTTGCAAAGCCCCTTAGGAAGTTGCAGGGAAAGTGGCGCAGCAAGGTTGGGGTTGAGTTAGTAGAGACTGGCTGGTTGTGAGCCCTTGTGAGATGGGAGGTATCTTGCTACCATATCCCATGGACCAGTTTTAAATTCTCACCCTCACTGCATGAAGATACAGGTCCATAGTCCCTGAAACAAGGGGACAAGAAAAGTTGCAAAATTTGAAATTTTCCTCATTTTAGGAAGAATTCATTGACTCTATTATGTGTAACGCTCAGCAGAGTCCTAAAACTAAACATTGAAGTATTTTTGCAACAAATATTCACAATAAAAGGATTGGAGAAAACTTATGTCAGTTCAAGTTCATTTTTTTCTGTTGAATGAGTTATGGATTACTCTCAGGTTTCAGAACTGTTTGGATTTTTTTTTTTTTTTAATTTATTTTGAAAGATAGCATGTGCAAGCTGGGGAGGGACCAAGAGAGGGAGAGAGAATCCCAAGCAGGCTCCACACTGTCTGTGTGGAGCCCGATGTAGGGCTCAAACCCACAAAGAGCGAGATCCTGACGTGAGCTGAAGCCAGAGTCAGACGCATAACTGATTGAGCTACCCAGATACCTCAAAGTGGCTTGGATTTTGGAAATGCAAATAAGGCATGTGGGCATGTCATGTTGACCCAACAATGACCAAGGAGGCCCTGTGTAAAGCCCCTCCCTTGGCTGTCTTTTTCTAGTCCTCACAGTGATTCTTTGGGCTAAGTCCTCCGACTGCCCACATGTTGTAGGTGAAGAACCCAGGCTGAAGGAGTAAAGTGAATTGTCCACTGTCACACAGCAAATGGCAGAGGTGGAACCCAGTCCAGATCTTCCTGATTCTCAAACTAATATTCCTCATCTCCTCAGTCCCATATACAATCAGACTCAGGGATGTTGACTCACACTGGCAAAACTCACAAGAGACTGATATCTAAATCCTGAATGGCAGTGTATTCAATTAGTATGAGTGGGTACAGCCCCATGACCTGTGAAAGTTGGGGCACCTTGGTGGCAAGGAACAGAAGCCCATTCAGGGCTGGGCCTGGAACCCACCAGGAGCTCAGCCACTTGTAATGCCTGGTTCCTCTTGTGTCTTTCTGACCCACTGATCTTTCCTTCTCTTCTAACTGGCTGGTTGGCTACATTGTAGCTCACCTGCCTCACCATGAATTGTCTTGTAACTTTGGCTTACTAGCTACATTGTAGCTCACTGGCCATATCAAGAGTTGAATGCCTTGGTTCAGGTGCTGGTGATAAGCTGGCCAGGGCATCAGGGGCACACAGCTGTTGCCTTGGGCATTTGGGTAGTGGTTGGTAATTTCCATGAGAAGGGTGTGTAGGCATTCTGAGGCTTGGCTGGCCTGGGGTGTTGGTGCGGGGGGGGGGGGGGGGGGGGCGGTAAATGGGGATTTAAGTGGTTTGCATATTTAAAGGAATGAGGCTGAGATTGCCAAGTTAGATGGGGTTTTAGCTCATTTGAATATTTAATATGAAGGCTGTGGTTTCTTAGGGCCTTTTTTCCCTCTTGGGGCAGTTAGCCATCCCTTCTGTGTTTCCAGAGCACTTTATATTAGCTCCCTCTGATTACACCTGCCAGAGTAGACAGAATATGGCTCCCATATTCTGAGCCTAAGTCCCAGAATGTATGAATTTTGTTCCTTTATGTGGCAAAAGAGATTTCACAGATAAGATTGAGTTAAGGATCCTCAGATGGGAAGATTATCCTGTCGTTTCTGGGTGGGCATAATGTCCTCACAATGTTCCTTTTAAAGAGGACACAGGAGTCAGAAGAGATGAGTGAGCCCCTTAAAAGGAGGAGAAAGGGGCCACAAGCCAAGGGATACAGGCAGCCATTAGAAGCTGAAAAAATGGAAGGAAATGGATTCTCCCCTCAGTCTCTCCTGAAGGAACCAGTCCTTTACTTGACTTTTGCTGGTGGAAATGATATCAGACTTCTGAACTACAAAACTATATGAGAGTAAGCTTGTGTATGTGTGTGTTTTTAAATGTTTATTTTTGAGAGAGCACGCGCGTGTATGCGAGTGGGGGAGGGGCAGAAAGAGGGAGACAGAATCTGAAGCAGGCTCCAGGCTCTGAGCTGTCAGCACAGAGCCTGAGCGGGGCTCAAACCCACGAACTGTGAGATCAGGACCTGAGCCAAAGTTGGACAACTGAGCCACCCAGGTGCCCCAATTTATGTTGTTTCAAGGCACCCAGTTTGTGGTAATTTGTTACAGAGACCATCAGAAGCTAATAGATTCATCAATGAGGAGATTTCTGCTGCTTTTTTGGGGCCACCACCTGGCATCCACTTCCTCTTCCTGATGCCACACTAGTTTTTTTTTGAGGGAATTCTTTTTCCTTTCCCCATGAAGTTATGGGAGGAAAGGAGGAGATGGTAAAGCTAAGGATTTGCCTGCCTCCCCATTATGGAAGCTGACGGGGTATCAAGAATTTCCTTCCCTGGTGAATCTGCTCCCACTAGTCTCCCACCTGGAAGTGGGCCCAGGGCTTTACAAAGAGCAAGTGGACCTGGGGTGGCAACATTAATGGTAGGAGCAGTATTGTGCCAATCTGAGCTCTGTACTTCCTGACTTTGGCTTTGAAGTTGCCGAGCTTTCATTTCCTTATCTATAAGGTGGGTGCACGAGCAGTACCAATCTCATGGCGTTTGTGAGGATTCAGCGGAGTGGGGAGGTCCATTTGAAGTGCCTGGCATGTCATAAGCGATCTTTTCTTGCTGGCTTCCATCATTAAAGATGGAAGGACCACATGCGTGGCTGTGAGGGAGCCATAGAAAGTTCTTGAGCAGGAAAGTAACAATCTCTTTGGCTTTTTGGGGGTGGGGAAGGCCCACAAGATGGGCAGATGATTGAGATGCCTTTGACAAAACATTTGGGAAATGTCAGGACTGGGTGGATGGTGGGAGCAGAGGCGGAGGGGCATTTCCCAGAGTGTGAGTAACTGCCACTCCCTTGTAATGTTGCCCCGTGGTGGACCTGCTGCATGCCTGGGTAATGGTGCAGGAGACAGACAGCTCCTGTTTGTGCCTGTCCGCGCCTGATGCCTCTTGTGGTAACTGGGTTGCTATTTTTCTGGGAGAGGTATCTCTCCTCCCACTTGCCCTCACCCCACGTCCTTCTGGAGGGGCTCACCCCATCCTCTCCCTAGAGGGGCTCAATCTGGCCAGGTTTAGCCAATCTTGCTGTGATTGGCTTAGGTAAAGCCTGAACGATCCAAATGAGTACAATGAAAGTCAGCCCTGAGAGTGGCTGAAGTTGTTGGCAAACAGCTCCTGCTTTCCTGATCACATGTAAGCTTGGTGCTGCCCTGGACACTGGAGAGAGTTGCACGAGAAAGAAATCATCCAAGGGAAAAGCAGAGCTGAACACGATTCAAGATTTAGGTCATTGCTTGAGCACCTGGGTCTGGCTTTGCCTGAAGGGTGGTACCACTCCAGGGCTTTGCAGTAGGCCTCCCTCTTTGTTCTACTCCAGGTTGAATTATTGTCACTTGTATCTGGAAAAGGTCAGACTAATAAATTCAAGAATTTACAAACTCCAAGAAACCCTTGGAGACTTTTATTCTAGTAGGGAAAACATTCGCTGCTGTTGTTGTTCTGCCAACTTTAGGGTTTTCAGAGAGGTTTGGGGCAGAGGATGGAAAGCGAAGACGTGGGAAGTAACAGTCCCTCCAGCTCCAAGGTTGAGTGAACCCCTCCCAGCTAATTATACCACAGAGTTTGGGAGCAGAGCCCCTTTCATTAAACTTTTAGGAGTCCTGGAAGGATAGGGCCAGAATCATACCAGCGAAGCCTGGAAAGCTTGGTGCTGCCAGGCGTTATGCTCAGGGAGGGACCTGCATCGTCTGAGAGCTCACCTCAACTGTGTGAGGTATTACTGCCACTCTCCCTGTTTGCTGATCTAGAAATCCAGGCTTTCTGGTTCAATCAAGTGACCTGTTAAAGGTTTCTCTTTGTAAGAGGTTAAGGCCAGATTTGAACTAAGGTTTCCTTTCTCTAGTACATAAAACTACTTAGGTCTTGTCACCCGACTATCAGTTGGTAAGTAGTAGGCTCGGTGCCGGCATCACCTGGATTGTTTCCTGAAGTTCTCGCAACATGCCTTCGTTGTTGGCCTTACTGATTAAGGAGAAACAGGCCTCCAGAGACCTTACCCTAATCACTCAAATGTTGGTGCGGTGGGACTGGAACTCAGGTGCTCCATTGAGTCTGGCTGTCCCAGGGACATGGGCACTCACTGTACCACTTATCTCTCGCGCACGTGCTTGCACACTCCCATGACGGGGATCTCATCACCTTAGCGGTGTTCTTCCCCCCCACCCGGCATATATTAGGGCTAATTCCCCCCTGGCTCAGACCCTAGCCCAAGCCCGGCGTGATGGGTGAAGCAGAAGGGGCGGTGCAGGGAAGGCGCCCGGGGGCCTGGCCGGGGGTCGTCTGCAGTGCGGCAGGCGGCGGCGCTGAGTGCAGAACGGCGAGCGCTCCAGCCCGGCCGGACGGGTGCGGAGGGGGTGGGCTCGACGCCGGGAACAGCGGCCGGCTCTGGAGGGCGCAAGGCGGGGCGCGCAGGGAAGGGGCGCGGCGANGGGGGGGGGGGGGGGGGGGCGGTAAATGGGGATTTAAGTGGTTTGCATATTTAAAGGAATGAGGCTGAGATTGCCAAGTTAGATGGGGTTTTAGCTCATTTGAATATTTAATATGAAGGCTGTGGTTTCTTAGGGCCTTTTT